TGCCCACTGAACCATCTCCCCCAGCCTCTCATTGTTCCTTAATCATTTTTCCTGTTTATCCTGGCATACCGCCTTCCCTTTCTGCCAAGCCCAGACATCTCCTCAGCACCCTCCCTGCTCACCAGGCTTCTGGTGCTCCTGCATTCCAGTTCTTCTCTGCCACCTCCGGACTGGCTGAAACCAGTTGTCTACTGAGGTACCTTGAGCTCCAGTATGGGAGTAAGTGCTGCTTTTTCTTTCTGGATCCTGAAGGACACATACATAGATGGTCTTGGGATAAGAGTCCAAGCAGAGGAATCAGAAAGAGGAAAGACATGAAGGAGTGAGTCTAGAGCCTGTCTGAAGACCAGGAGAATTCCAGAATTTGTAGGAGAGATTATTCATCCAAGATGCTCAATGGAAGGCCTTTGGCTAAGGGGCTTGCTTTGGTTTTTGGAGATAAGGTCTCATTTTTGCATCCCAGGTTAGCCTGGAACTCTGTAGTGCAAGCTGGCCTCAAACTTGAGAGATCACCAGATTCCTGTTGAGATTGCAAATGTGTATAGCTTTGAGTTTGCTTTTTTTTTTTTTTTTTTTTGAGACAGTTTTCAAACTCAGAACCCTTTTTTTTTTTTTTTTTTTTTTGAGACAGGACTCACTTTGTAGTCCAGGCTGGCCTCCACCTGCCTCTGCCTCCCCAAATGCTGGGATTAAAGCCATCATGATCTGCTATTTATTTATTTATTTATTTATTTATTTATTTATTTATTTATTTATTTAATTACAGGCATGTGCTACCATGGCCGGCTGAGACAAAGTCTTCTATAGTTCAAATTAGCTTTAAACTCCTGATCCTTCTGTTTCTCCCTCTTGAATACTGGGATTATCCCAGGAAAGTACAGTGTATGAGTATGTGTGTGTGCGTGTGGAAGTGTGTATTTAAGTTTTTTAAAAGATGTATTTATTTTTTATCTGATGTGGATGAGTGTTTTGCCTGTATGCATACATGTGTTCTGTGGGTACCGTCTTTGTGCCTGGTGCCTATGGAGGCCAGAGGAAGGAAGGACTCAGATCACCTGATTCTGTTATGGATGTTTGTGAGTACCATGAGGGTTCGGAGAACTGAACCTTGGTCCTCTGCAAGAACAACAAATGTTCTTAACAACTGAACTATACCTTCAGCTCTTGTTTTTTAAAGGTCTAAAAATAAGAGCCTATAAAACTTTGGAGCTGGAGAAATAGCTCAGAGGTTTAGAGCACAGGCTGGCCTTACAGAAGACCTGGTTTTGGTTCCAAGCATTCACACAGCAGCTAGCAAGCACTAAGAGTTCCAGTTCTAGGGAATCTGGTGACCTTGTTCTGACTTCCATGGTTAGAAAGTACGCACACAGTGCACATGCATACACACAGGTAAAAATTTATACACATAAATAAATCTCTAAAACAACAAAGGCTGAAAACCTTTATAAAAGAAGCAATAGTGTTTTGTGACACGTGAAAATTATGTTAGAGTCCAATAAAGTTTTATTGGTATACAGCCATTCTTATTTGCTCTAGTATAGTATCTACGGCCACCTTCAACTTCAGTGACTGAGACCATGCAATATACCAGTGCTGATGTGTAGCCTTCATTTTGTCTCTTGGCTTATAGAGTCTAAAAATGTCCGCTCGCCGGCCTTTTACAGAACAAGTTTGATACTTCTGAATTGAGGGATTGTTTTAGCACTGTAGGCAAGAGCCCTGTTGTGCAATGGAGAAAACAGGATTAATGTAAGAACTGTTTAGAGGTAGGCTGGGTACGTGAAGTACAAAGGAGTCTAGGCTGGCTTACAGCTCTCTGGCTTGAGCAACTGTGTGAATGGTCGTTCCAGGAAGGCAGAAATACCAAATATCAGGGCCAGGAGGACAAGGGCTGGAAGAGCTGGACTTTTTAATGGAATAGTCAGACTGTTGGACTTCTCTAGTTTATCATTGAAGCAAAGGCCTTAGAAGTGATACCACAAGCCCTTTGGAGTCCGAGGCTGGCAGGGACTTTCTTGTTCTAAAGGTGAGCAGGTCCCAAACTCAGTTTCTATTTGGAGTCAGTTCTGAGTCCCATGAAACCTGAGTTAGGCGCCTAAGAATGAGACCACAGATTCTACAGGCCTTGGGAGGCTCTGCAAGGATAGGCCACCCAAAAGTAAGACTATAAAGGCTTCAGGCTAAGGGGCTTGCTTTTGTTTGTTTGCTTTTGAGGCTTGCATTGAGCTATCCCCAGATATCAAGATCCCCTTGCCTTCATGGCCTCACTGATTATGGCATACCAGTCAGAGAGGGGAGGACCTGTTTCTGAATGGTTACAGAGCCTTTAGTGTTGTTGGATTCTTGTTGGAGTTTGGGGGTAGCTGCTGGCGTGACCAAGATCATCCATTGTATTGTTCAATATTGTCTGTTTTCTGGAGAACATGGTCCAAGGCAAATAGCAGGTTTCTTAGACAGGCTATTTCCTCAGTGGCCAGGAGGTGGCACTAAAATGCCATGGTGGATACCGAGGTAGGGCAGAGCTTTGCTTGTGGGAGGGGCGATCCTAACCTGTTGGTCTTCTTTAGGCTGGCTCCAGTCTATTGGGACTGGTAGAAAAGGTGATAGTCACAAAGTGACCTTATTCTCTCCTTACTACTACGAAAAGGCCTTTGTTTCTGGGGTGAAGAGACTCCCTCAGGGCAGGAGTGATTGCAGTGTGTGGGATGGACAGATGCCCATGCAACCACCCTCTCCTTCTTGGCTCATGTCATTTCCTCCATCTTATACACTATGGATTTACAGAACTCTTTCTTCAGAGGCCTGCAGGACCCAGACTCCACCTGGATTTTACACTCCTTCTTGCACTCCTGGATACTCTTCAAACCCAGTCATATTAGCGTATTAGGTTGTGAGAATTTTGTCTTCCTGGTCTGAGGGAATAACACTGTAGACTTTTCAAAGCCAGATCAGAGGTACAGGATAAGACCTGGGTGTTTCTGGCCTTTACCTGTGGCAGCCTCTTCTGTGATGACACTGGTGGTACAGCCATTTCGTGCTTTTACCAGTTTGCCTCATCCTTCTGATACTGGCAAGGGCTCTACTGAAGACAGGAGGCATGCCTAAAGTCATTTGGTGGGGGGCATGTCAGGACCATGGTGACAAGTGTGAGCTGCTACTCCTATTGTTGATGCTAGTCCCATCCCCTGGCTTCAGTAGAGGCAAGTTCCATTGACCCCAAAGCTTCACTTCTTTCAATGCTGCTCAGCTTCCTCAGCCCCTTCACCTCTACGCCTTTGACGAAGGCAGGACATTTATCCCTGAAGGGGCCTTAGGAACCACAGGGAGCACAGTGTCTCAGCTGACAAGCGGGGGTGGGGGGTTTGCTGTGCTGGTGGCGCAGGGGTATGGGCTTTACACCTGACGGTTATTCCTGCACAATTGTATCTCCTGTGCCTTCTGGCCAGCTTCTCCTTGTCCACCTAGCGGGTTAACCTTGCCCACGGTGTTGGAAGATTCCATTCCAAAGGTTATGGGTGATGTGAGGGTGAGTGACTGAGACATTTGTCACCCCATTGATTACTAGGGTTGATTTGCCTGATCTGGCTAGCTAGGCAGGTGTCTTCTTCCTCTCTCACCCCTCCGTGTTCACTCTGGCCAAAGCTGTACACTGAGTTCAAGAGGATGACCTTCCCAGGTAGAGGAGGCCCTTCTTTTGGTCAGTGGTATACCAAGAGATGCACACCCCAGCTAGAACCTCCAAACAAGCTCTCGAGGTACAAATGCTTCTGGGAGGAGAAGCTAAATGTGTGGGGTGAATTCCCATTGGTTTCTCTGCAGGGATTTTTTTTTTTTTTTTTTTTTTTTTTTTTGCCCCCTCAGACTTTAGCCTGTACCAGAAAACCTCGAGGTTGCTGGTTTCAGACAGCTGGTTTCCATCCTCAGAATGCCCCTTTTAGTAAATTTGTGGTGACCCCCAGATATTTGCCTATGTAAGTTCCCAGGTGACAGTGATGCTCCTGGTCTGGGCTACTGTGAGCTCAGCTGGCTTCGGGGAGTCATGGCAAACTACTGCACTATCCAGCCTAGAAGAAGATCTTTGCTCATCTGTGTACCCTGTTGGGCTCCTGTGCCCAACCTCTAGTTAAAACATCAGACATCAAGGTTTCTGCTGGGCTTTTGTGGCTGGCAGCATATCATGTAGGCTGCCCTACATCATTGTTGGAGAAGTAGTCTGTGACTCCCTGGGAAGAGAACTGGCATCTAGTGACAGTTACTCTAGGTTTCTGCGCTGTGCGCTTTCTTTTGTTCCTGTTTTCTTCTGCATTGTCTCCCTGTGACAGTGACAGACTTTAGTGGCTTTGCAGAGTTCTGTATGTTTCCCAGCAAATCACTGGCATTAAATTGGCCTTGGGACTCCCAGCCACTACTATGCTTTGCTGACCACTGCTCAGGACAGTGGGGTTAATCTCTTTAGGTTCCTTTTCATTAGACTTTGGGAACCTCCCTTACCGATATAATGCTGTGGCCTGAGGGTTACCCTAATGGAGTGCTTTGGCCTAGAGGATCCTAGGTCTGTCATCTCCATAGTCCAGGGTTCACGAGGTTGTGGACTACCTGGAAGCCTGGGTGCTGCCTCGTGGGCTAATCCTAAACAATCCTCCTGGGTCTCCGGGTCTTAGTTTCCCCATCTGCAAACGGGAGTTTGGAGGAGTTTTGTTCTCCCTGGGTATGATAAGGCCCCAGAGCAGATATATGCAGAATATATAGGGGTGTTTCATCTAGTCACCTCATTTCCAGAGGTCAGATGTGCCTGGTTTAGCACCACTCACCTGAGCCCTGGATGCCAGGGTGCTGGGGCCCACAGGCTTTAGTCGCTCTAGCCCTTCAGTGCTGTCCCCTGGATCCACCTTAAATGCTGTATGCAGCCTACATTCTGCAAGCAGTACTTCTGCCTTCCCTGACCCAGCAATCCTGGCCCTGGGGCCAGGACAGGGAGGAATTCCTCGTGGTGCCTGCTGGTTACGTGGCTTTTATTCACAGACTCAGCATATGCTGAGGATGGAAGGAAAGAACAGGGGACAGGCAGGGCCTGGAGATTAGGGTTGTAGGGAGGCCATGCAGGGGTTGGATTGGGAGTATACAGAAGAGAACCTGCTGGCTGGGCAAGGCTGAAGGCAGGCAGCATGCGGGAGCTCTGGCTAGATCTGCCCAGAGCAGATCCACCCAGGGTACGGCTGTGAGCCAGGAGGGAGGGATGGAGATTACTTTGGGGCAGTGAGAGAAGAGGATGGGTGTGGGACTGGATAGCAGGCACCTTACCCCTCCCCCACCCCAACCCCCCCACCGGAAAATGGCATAGAGGACCGGTTAGGACACCTGACATTTGGTCCTGCTACTGCTTTGAGGCTTGGTGTGTCTAGCCAAGCGGATCTCCTCTGGTGTTATTGTCCTGCTCACGTGTAGACAGTTGCCTTGGAGGTGACCCACATGGGGATGACCTGGGGGCATTTGTAGGAAGCCTGGACAATCTTGGAGATCGTGCCTAGGGCCTACCCAGATGGGCTCTGCCTGTGCAGGGAGAGATTTCCAGCCAGGGGTCACCAACTCCCTTCTGTCCCGAACTTTTCTCTCTGTGCTTGGTGTCAGCTCCCTCATGTAGATCCAGGGGGCGCTGTCTCCCACTGCAATCCAGGCCCCTTGCTGTGCCAAGGAAGACTGCGCAGTAAACTACTGGCCCGCCCTGCTGGCTCCTGACTTCCTGCCTAAAGGCAAACAGGAGTCCAAAGCCTGGTTCCTCCTCCTGGGCCTTCTTCCTGGTGAAAAGCCCATTCCCACACAGCAGGGATCAGAAAAACCAGTTCCCCGGGTTTCACTCCCTGTATGGGAATAGCAAAGTTTGGAAAGCTGGCAGAGACTCTCTGGGCTGTCCAGGAAGGTGACCCAGGGGCCTGGGAAGTCAGGGGAGGTCTGAGCAGAGCCCTGGGGCTGAAGATGTAGCCCATGGACACTTTCCACCGGCCTCTCCCTGGAGCTGGGGTGAAAGGATGCAGGAGAGGGGGGCCACTAGCACTGGCGGGAGGGGGTGCGGTGCACAGAGCCAGGGCGCTTGGGGATCTTGCGCCAGCGCCGCTTGTCCCAGCGGCAGAGCAACAGCAGGCGGAAAGTGTCCCGGAAGGCTTTGTTGCAGAGTGCGTAGCACATGGGGTTGACAGTGCTGTTGACATAGCACAGCCAGTAGCCCAGCTCCCATAGGGTCTCGGGAACGCAGTCCTTACAGAACGTAGATACCAGCACCATGATGTTATATGGTGTCCAGGTGAGGATGAAGGCTAGCAGGATGGCACTCAGGGTCCGAGCTGCCTTCTTCTCCTTGACCAGTGAGAAAGTCTTTCGCTTGGCCAGTTGCTCCTTCCCTCGAGGTTTTTGCCCCTTGCCACCTCTGTCTCGGCCTTTCTTGGTGGGCCTCTTGACTGTATTTGGGGAGCTTTTGGGGGGCTGCTTGGTGGGTGCCTGTGCTTCAGGATCTACCATAGGCATCTTGATCACCACTTCTGAGCCGGGCTCCTCGCCCTCAGAGGATGTGAGGGACTCCATGGAACCTTCATCCTCCTCTTCTTCCTCCTTCCAGCTGTAGGCCTGCAGAAGCCTGGGCGTCCGGCAACAGCGACAGCAGCGTCCTGGTGGTGACTCTGGCGAGCCCTCAGCCCCTGGCTGTGACCTCTCTGAGCTGCTGCTGCTGCCACCACCTTTGCCCGGTGTCTCAGAGCCCTGTAGGGCTGCCAGCTCCCGGGCTCGGTTTTCTGTCTCCCGGTAGATGCGCCAGTAGAGCGTACACATGACTGTGACAGGGAGGTAGAAGGCGGCCATGGCTGTGCCGAAAGTGATGATGGGTTGGGAGAGGAACTGTATGTAGCACTGCCCAGCCAGCACTGTCCGCTCCCCAACTAGGTACTGCCAGAAGAGGATGGCTGGGGCCCAGAGGACAAAGGAAACCAACCAGGCCAGGCCAATCATCAGAGCTGCCCTGCGGGGTGTACGCTTGGCTCTGTAGCTCAGGGGTCGGGTCACTGAGAAGTACCGGTCAAAGCTGATGAGAAGAAGATTCATGACGGAGGCATTGCTGGCCACATAGTCCAGGGCCAGCCAGAGGTCACAGGCCAGTGTGCCCAGAGCCCAGTGGCCCATGAGCAGGTATGTGGTGTAGAGGTTCATGGAGAAGGTGCCAATGATGAGGTCAGCACAGGCCAGGCTCAGCAGGAAGTAGTTGTTGACTGTCTTGAGCTCTGTGTTGACCTTGAAGGAGATGAGTACCAGCAGATTGCCTGTCACTGTAGCCAGAGACAGGAGGCCTGTGGTGATCCCGATGAAGGCCACTTGCCAGGGACCTTTTCCTGGTGCCAAGACAGTGATGTTAGGGCTGACAGCAGGGGCCACTGAGGTGTTCATTGCAGCCAGGCAGGATGAAGGGGCAGCCCCTTCCTTCAGTCACAGGTTTTCCTCAGAGTAAGGACATCACCTGAAAAGAAAGGAGACGGGATTGGTTGGGCCACTGGGCATCTCTGGCATCCGAGTGGGAGAATAAAAGAATACAGCCCCTGACCTATCAGAGCACCAGGCAAGACAGCATTACCATCACCTCCAGGCACTGGCACCTACTCACAGAGGTTAACATCGTGCTTTCCAGACCAAGGAGATTTGCCAGCTATCTGGGGTGGCCCTTAAGCCTAGAGATTTGCGTCTTCATTCCAGTTTCACCATTTAGACTCTGAGCCTCAGTTTTCGCCTTGGGAAATTACTGCTAATTCCTGTCTTCAAATTTTTAAACAATATTAATTTGTTTTTATTTGATGCATATGAATATTTTGCCTGCAAATATGTTTGTGCACCATAGGTAAACAGTGTCCAAGGAGGCATCAGGTCCCCTGGAACTGGAGTCACAGACATTGTGAGCTGCCTTGTGGGTGCTGGGAATTGAACACCAGTTCCCTGAAAGAGTAGTTGGTGAGTGTTCTTAACTGTCAAGCCATCTCTCCAGCCCCTAATTCCTGTTTTCCATAAGTTTCATGCAGCAGGAATTGGGAGAGCTACTTTGGGTACAGTCCTGTGAAATTTTCCAAGTATTTCACTAAACCTTATTAAAGTCTTCATTTAAGGAGGGCTTGCTACATGCCAGACACAGTGCTAAGCACCTAATCAAGTTATCTAATTTAACTGTCCTGCTCATCCTTAGCAGGAAGGCCCTTGTCATCCCTTTCTTGCTGGAGGCAATGGTGACTGAAAGGCTTCAACCTCTGCTATAGCCACAAGATGCTGAGGGGGATCAGAGCCCAGTTCCTCCACTTGCTGTGCATGAGCTGCTCCAGTGTGATTCTTTTGTCAAATAAAGAGTGATGGGAAGAAGGAGAAGGCTCCAGAGAAGAGGGCTGGGAGCGGTGGCACACATCTGTAATTCTTCACCTGGGAGATGAAGGCAAAAGGATCAGGAGTTTAAAGTCCGTCTTCTGCTACATAGTGAGTTTGAAGATAGCCTGAGCTACAGGAGCCTCCAGAGAGGAGGCAGGAGACAGGGAATGGGGTACATGGGAATGCATGTGTGTGTCTTTATGTCTGCACCTTCTTTCATGGATTGTATGTGAAGTAGGCAACAGGAACAACAGCCTCAGCTACCAGTCAGGTGAGGGTCTGGCCCCAGATGGGATGTGGGCGGCTCCCCTCCCTCTCTCTGCTCTGTTCCTGGGCCCCAGCTGCGAGGAGGGCAGCATGGGGAACAGGAAGATCCCCCAGACTTTCTGGGATCTGGAGTCTGGCCCATGCACTAAAGTTGTGAAAAAGGAAAGGCCAGGAGGTAGAGGAGGCCCACAGCCAAAGCAAAGGCAGATAAAGAACTGAAGGTCCCACTCAGCTACAGCCCAGCTGCTGCATGATTTGGTGGGCCCTTTCTTACACCTCCATCTGCCCACTGACGGGTCCATTTGGGGTCTTCCTAGCCCAAAGCTGTGGCCTTTAGGATTATGCTATTGGGAAGATTCTAAAAGAGAAATGGTGGGTAAGAACTTTCCAAACCTTGGTGTCGCTTGGGGCCTTGGTCTGTGACACAGAGACTAACGTGTTGTGCCTTTGATCATGTATGACCTGGAGTATGTGTGGCGGGGGCCACCTCCGTGGCTCTTGGTGAACTGTCATTGTGATAGAGATCAGTGTGTGACAGCATGAGCAAGAAGGCCTGTATCTGTCAGCGTGTGCATGTGTGTCTGAGACACTTAACATTTGAGGGAGTATGTGTGACGTCACAGTTAAATAACCTAGCCTCCAGAGCTAGGCTGCCTGCATTTAATACTACACAATATTAGCTGTGGGAGAAATAGCAACAAACGAGAGTATTGGTGTTGCCAGGGTTTTTAATTTGTTTTTGTTTGTTTCTTTGATTTTTCAAGACAGGGTTTCTCTGTAGAGCCTTAGCTGTCCTGGAACTCCCTCTGCAGACCAGGCTGGCCTCAAACTCAGAGATCTGCCTGCCTCAGCCTCCTGAGAGCTGGGGTTAAAGGCATGCTTTACCATGCCTATGCCCAGTTTTGTTTTGTTTTGAGACAAGGTCTTATGTAGCCTACATTGGCTTGAACATTTCTTCGTAATCGAGAATGACTTTGTACTCCAAATCCTTCTCCTTGTCTCCCCCACCCAAGTGCTGGGATTGCAGATGAGGCCTGTCTGGATTTGAATCCATGCTTCATCATTTACTGTTTGTGATATTGTTAGTGATGTAATGTAGGAAAAAAAAATCATCCATAGGAGCTGGAGAGATGTCTCAGCAGGTAAGGATGCTTACTGAGCTGGGCACACACCTTTAATCCCAGCACTTGGGAGGCAGAGGCAGTGGGATAGCTGTGAGTTTGAGGCCAGCCTGGTCTACAAATCGAGTCCAGGGCAGCCAAGGCTACACAGAGAAATCCTGTCTTCAAAAACCAAAACCAACCAACCAAACAAACAAAAACAAAAACAAAACAAAACAGAAAGAGTGCTTCCTGCTCTTCCAGAGCACCTGAGTTCAGTTCCCTGCACCCACATGGCAGCTCACAATGGTCTATAACTCCGTTCCTGAGGATCCTACACCCTCTTCTGGCCTCCGTGGGCACCACTCAAATCAGGGCATGGATATATGTGCAGGAAAACACCCATATTCATAAAATAAAAACAAGTACATCTTAAAAATTCTATAATTCACTACAATACAACTCCCATACCTAAGGTTAAGAAGAGGAACAGCGAGATTGTAAAAGCCAGAGAATCAAGGAGTTTGCTGTAGATGCTGTCTTAAATGAATGTCAGAAGCTACACCCATAAGGTCTCACCAACATGACTGACTAAACATGACATGTTAAAGTGGGAGCAGAAAGCCCACAAGGTTTTAAAACTACACAAAGAATTACAGGCAACTAAGGAATGCTGGGAGTGGGAAATCTAGTCTTCCTCAGGGAAAGGCACACCAAATGGTTATCCAATACTAAATGGTCAGCCTTGAAAACATTCATACAGATGGCTCACACCTGTGTTCCTAGCACTTGGGAGGCAGAGGCAGGGGTATGGGATCTCTGAGTTTGAGGCCAGCTGGGTCTACCAAGAGAGTCCAGGATAGCCAAGGCTACACAGAGAAACCCTGTCTCTACCCTCCAACCCCCTTAAAAAAAGAAAACATAGATACAAATAACATTATACAGACTGAACAAGTTGCATTTATGTATTTAGGTGTATACACACATGTATGTAACAACAAGTAAGGAAAAAGGTCATAAACTTGCAAGACAGCAAGGAGGAGTATTATGGAAGGATTATAGGGAGGAATGGGAAGGAAGGAATGATGTAATTATATTATCTCAAAAATGAAAGAAATATTTAAAAATAAATCATTCATTAATTTATTTGTGACAGGGTCTTATGTAGTATAGGCCTGCTTCCCTTTCTGTATAGCATGCAGGAGGATGACTTTGAACTCTGGATCCTGCTTCTATCTCTCAGGTGATAGGAGTAAAGGCTTGCACCACCGTATCATATTTTATTGTTAATTTATTACTATTATTTTGTTTTTTAAAAAAGATTTATTTATTTATTTTATGTATATGAGTGACAGAAGAGGGCACCAGATCACTTTATAAATGGTTGTGAGCACCATGTGGTTGCTGGGAATTGAACTCAGAACCTCTGGAAGAGCAGACAGTACTCTTAATCACTGAGCCATCTCTCCAGCCCTGTTTTGGTTTTTTGAGACAGTGTAGCTCTGGTTGTCCTGGACTTGCTTTTCAAGCCAGGCTGGCCTTGAACTCAGAAAGATCCACCTGCCTCTGCTTCCTGAGTGCTGGGATCAAAGGCCTGTGTCACCGTACTTGGTTTGCCCTTTTCTTTTAAGTGATGTTATGTCTATACCCATAGATTCCTCACTTAGGATGAAGGGATTAACTAAGAGCTTTAAGCTAATAAACTACCTCAAAAAATTGTTGAGAGAATTAAGTGAGTTTTTGAAAATCAAGTGCTTAGAATGGCTCTTAATGTACAGTGAGCATTGGGTCCCCATTAATTCAGTCTATGTGGGAATGAAGGCTCCCTCCTGCTTAAGAGTGTACACTTCTATTAAAAACCTCCCCTAAAGAGGGAGGAATAGTCTTCTTCAGGGATTGAACCCAGTGGGTTATCCAATACCAAGGGTCAGCCCTGAAATCATATACATACAAGTAACACTAAAGGGACCAAGCAGGTTGTATTCATATATGTAGGCATATATACATACATATATGTAAAAATAACAACTAAAAAGAGATCATGATTTTGAGAGGGAGCAAATTCTGGGGGTACAGGGAAAGTATTAGAGGGAGGAAAGCAAAGAAAATGATGTAATTGTATTTTACTTAAAAAACAAAAACACCTCTCCTAAGGTTGGGTGTGGTGGCACACACCTTTACTCTCAGCACTCAGGAGGCAGAGGCAGGAGGATCTCTGTGAGTTCAAGGTTGTCCTGGTCCACATAGTGAGTTCCAGGACAGCCAGAGCTACGATGAGAAACCTTGTCTTGAAAAAAAGAAAGAGAGAGAAAGAAGAAAGAAGGAAGGAAGGAAAGAAAGAAGAACCTTCCTAGAGGGCTTGAGTACAATTTGTGGTAAATCACTTGTCTAGCTTATTCAGCCTTCATAGGGCCTTGGGTTTCACCTCTAACACAGGACAGCAAATCTCTGATCGTGTAACGCTGGTCACCGGTCATGGTGCCTGTTGCTGTTGGACAGCTCACCCTGAGTCGCTGCTAAAGTATTTCTGCACATTCATGCATTAGCTTATTTAATCCTGTGTGTGTGTGTGTGTGTGTGTGTGTGTGTGTGTGTGTGTGTGGTGTAAGGAATCAAACATGGGGTCTAATACATGTTCAGCAAGTACTCTACCATTGATCCTCAGTCACAACTGAGGATTTGTTTGTTTGTTTTTAAGACAGAGTTTCATCTCACATAGTCTGCACTGTCCTGGAACACACTATGT